CTTTATAAGCAATTTATGATCTAGGAAGTTCATTTAGCCTCTCTGGCTCCAGCCTCCATATTGAAAATAAGAGGGTTGAACTAGGTGAATTTAAAGCCATTCACAGCTCTACAAATATATAAATTTATACACTTACAGAGATATAAGAGACCATAAACTCATCTTGGCCATCAAGTACTTAAATTGATCATTAGTAGATTCTTGAAGAAAGAGTGGCCAAACGTCTGGGCCACTTAAGAACAGCAGAAAGAAACACAGACCTAGAATTTCCACAAGAGAGTGTTTATTCAGAGACACAAACATACGGAAGCTTTACCATGAGGTCACTTTCTCCTTATCTCTGCAAGGCTGATGGAATATATACATCTGTCAGAATTTTTCTCTCAAAACTCCAGGAGTCAACCAGAAGCCAAGTTGCAAATACATCCACAATTAACCCAAGAGGTAGGTGCCTTCGTTTTTTTTTGTTTTTTTGTTTTGTTTTGTTTTGTTTTGTTTTGTTTGTTTGTTTTATCTCCCTACCACCTTCATTTCTCTGGTGATGTGAAAGTGAAAATTCCCTAGGGCGTAGGGGGAGGTCCTGCAAAGAGCAGAATGCACAAATGTAAATCAATCTCTTTCTTTCTGGAGGAGGATAAGAAAGAAGATACAACCTTGGCAAGAACTGCTAAAATTTAGAAGAGGCAGCCCTCCTCCGTGATTCACCTCTAAACCTTTTCAAATGTTTACTGCAGAAAAGTCCTAGCGAGAATGCTCTCTCTTTTTTTTAATCTGAAATTTTCTACTCAGCGGTCATTGCAAAGCTAAAAATCTTGGGAATTCCATTTTTATCTATTTCTGTGGGGTTTTCATTGCCAACAGAGACAGTTTCAGATCAGCCTTATTCAGAAGTGTGCGTTCCAACCCCCCAAATTCTAGTGTGCTATCTCTATTGGGCACTGGGAAATTTCTTTGCCTTCGTTTAGAATGGACATCAGGAGGACTTCCTAAGAGCTCTGTGCTGAAGGCATCCAGGGCTACAAGATGGCGCAACCCCCATTGTGGCCAACATCCCACGTGTACACATAAAAGTATGATAAAATCAGATTTATGTTCAGCCATATGGGAAAAGAGTGGAAAAATTAACAGGGAAGAGAGAATAAAACATCGAAGGTGGCCTAAGGTTTTCAGTGGAGAAGAGTGAAGCTTCCTGCCTTTCCTCAGTAATACTATTAACAGACATTTTTGCTTCCGTACCCTTCGGCACACACTATCCCAGTACTCTGTGTGCATTAACACATTTAATTCTCACAGTAAGTCTATAAGATAGGCGCTTTTATTCTTCTCCTTTGGCAAATGAGGGAACTCAGGTGTAGAGAGGATCAGTAACAGGAAGCCAGGCTGCCTCAGCACTCAGCCTTTTAGCCACTATGCCATATTGCCCCTTCAGGAGCAGAAAAGAGGCAGAGCTGGTGGAGGCATCATTGCATGGCTACCTGTAGGTTCTCTGTAGCTCTTCCTTTCCACATCTCTGGGCAGCTGCACAAGAGAATGTGCAAAGCACTATCCACTATTAAAGATTTCAAGAACCCTAAGTTTGTAAAAATGTTGTTAGGAAAATGTGAATTTTTCCCCCAATATCTATTTTCCCCTTCCTGTCCCCACTCCAGCTCTTCTAATTTTGTTACCTTCCATGTTACTAAAGTAATCACAGACATTTGTTCAAGTCAAATACATTTTGAAATGCCCACAATACCTAAATATATGTGTATACACATAAAAAAGAAAAATTTAAAATGTTAAATTATTTTAGGTCATTTCTTCACTTTTACTAGAATTAGCTTCAGAATCGAAAGGAAACGTAAATCCAACAGATCTAGATGAGAGGGAGTATCACCCTCCAGGGGGTTCTCTCGAGGGTCTGCGTGCGTTACAGTGGTTCAGAGAGGAGTTCAGCACTATTTGTATTTAGTGAAAGAGCCAAGGATGTTAAACACCCTATAGCATGAGGGGCAGTCCCTCATAGCCACAAATTTTTCTGCCACAGTGATAAACACTGTCTTGCGTTTTAAACTTCCATTTTTCAGTTGAGAAACTGAGCCATAGAAAAGTGAGGAAATTTCTTAAGAAGTTCATTGAGCACAGCCTGAGGGAGAATCCAGATCTATATATCTCTAGCAAAGGGCTCTTTTTGCTACACAAGAGAGTCCATAGAGATCAAAACTATTTTCATAATAATGCTAAGACATTATTTGCTTTATTAACTCTTATTCTCTCGCAGGTTGTACAATGGAGTTTTCCAGAGGCTACGTGTTGTGTAATACTGTATAATGAACATTTAGAAGATCTGTGAATAAATACTTTCCAAATAATAAATGGATGATATTATAGAATCACTCCTAGGTAAAAGATCCATTGAAAGTGCAAGAAGACAAATGGATTTTAAAGTCACTAAGTACAAGAGTTCATTGATTTGGTTTAAGATTTCACCTTGTACCAAACATTTAAGAAACCATCCCTCATTGAGTTTTAGTGTAGTATCAGAGAAGATTACCTAGAGTTACCTGAACAAGCTGTTAAAATATGTCTTCCTTTTTCAACTACAAATTTGAAGGTCACATGTTCTTCATCTATTTCAACCAAAAAAACATATTACAATGAATCGAATGCAGAGCAGATAGGAGAATCCAGTTGTCTTCAATTAAGCCAGGCATTAAAGAAATCTGCAAAATTGTAAAGCAATGACAATCTTCTCATGACATCAGTTTTGTTTTGGAAAATATATTTATCATTTACAATATAAGTTATATATAGTAATGTGAATGAGTGTAATTTTAAAATGGATTGATAAACACATTATAATTTTTCAGTTTAAATTTCTAATATAAACAGATATAATCCACAAAAACACAAGCTCCTTGGGGTCTTTAGTAATTTTTAAGGATTCGAAGAGAACTTAAGAATAAAAGAGAACTGCTGCCTGACATTATACTCTTTTGACTACCTGATTCTCTTGGGTGAGACCAGGGATTCTGTTTAAAAAATTATTTCTCAAATGATTCAGATAAGAGCCATTGACAGAGTTGAAGAAAGTCTCATTTTAACGTTGAATTTTAACGTAGGAAAAATGCCAGAATCAAGGGTAGGCCTTAATAGGCTTGTTGGGAGCGTCAAAGCTGCCGTTGGCTCTATATTACCTAGGAGCAAAGGCAAACTCCTTGAACTGGGAGATGCAGAAGCACCCAATGCAACTCTTGATCCATCTTGACAAAGAAAAGCAGCTGGAAATCAAACAGAGAGAATGAGCCTCAAGGGAAATAGTTCCAGTTCTGGAAGCAATGGCTGGACCTACAGTTTCAGTGAGAAAAGTCATAGTACTACTCAGGAGGGATGTGATTCTTCTAGTGTCCTAACTAACCTCAAGGCCAGAGAAGGCAAAGAAGTAGCTTATGGGCCAAATTTGGCTCGTAAATGTGCATTATTTAGACTTTCCAGAACATAGGCACTTTGTGGAATCAGATGGGAAATATGAAAATTTTTAAATTCCGTATTCCTCTACCATGGCAACAATTTCCTGGAACTGCACTGCTGCTGCTGCCAACAGATGGAGCCTGAGCCCTCTAGTGGTCCAGTCTCCAGGCCACCTCACTCCTTTATATTACTAGTCTGGCCTCGGGATGTGTTGCCAGGTGGGTTGGGAGGTTGCCATCCTGTTTCAGACTGCTCAAAGGGAGTGATGAATCCTTTGATGGTCTAAGAAGACAGGGACTAGGCTGAACCAGTGAACGAGATGGCCATACAGACTCAGAGTAGCGTGGCAGAGCCTGCAGAGTAGCGTGGCATTGGGACTTCAGGTTGGCCTAATTTGCCTGAGCACAAGGGTTAGAGGCCAACAGTTTGATCTTTCTATTATTGATTTTAAGTTAATGTGCTAATAATAGCACTAGTTTTAGCTACAAAGGGCTCAAATTAGTTTTAGGTGATTGATTAATGCATTTTATTGGCGAATATCAGAGCTCAGAGTAACCAATATTCTCTATGCAGTGTCTTTTTATTGTTGTTGTTGCTGTTGTTGTTAAAGAAATATACAATGCTTGATGAATTTGTGTGACACCCTTGTGCAGGGACATTCTAATCTTCTCTGTATTGTTCTACTTTTAGTATATATGCTGCCGAAGTAAGCACTATTCAGTGCCTTTTCGACATCACTTATGTGATCATAAAAAGAGCAGTCATAATAAACTGCCTAATATCATCCGTATGGAAATCTCTTGCTGTGTTGCTGAATTTTCATATTCAGTCTTTGTCCTGACAGTTAAGAAAAGCCACTTCCTCAAGTGTCAGCTGTGGATCCAAAAGCATCTACCAAAGATAAGCAGTTGTCATGGCAAAACACAACAAACCTAAAGGTGATGGATCATGGGACTTGGTTACTGTACTTGCCTTGTGAATCCACATTGCCTTCAATCTTTACTTAACTCCACACGTAACTTTTCAACACCATGTCCTGGGCTGTCTCAAAAGCACTTTGCTTCTCACTTTGCAGCTCCTCAAGCCAATGACATTCAACCACATTATACAGATGCCTACTTACCAAATAATAATTTTTTAGCAGTATGTATTTGTTAAAATTTGGCTTTCATTAAAATTCATTCACAAATGCCTGGAAAACAAAAAAATATAGTCAAGTAGGACCTAAAATTTTTTTGTTTGTTTTCTAATCATTAAAACAAACAAATATTGAGGCAAATTTTAGCATATAACTTTACTGAAAGCATCTTGGTCACATGAGGTTGAATCCTGATATAAGAAGTTGCGATATTTAGAGCATGTGATTAATTCTTCCACTACCTGACTAGATGACTTTAGTTAAGTTACTTAGTTTTTCTCTGATTCCTTTGTCCAAAGAACAAGAGCTCCAATTAGAGCTTTAAATCTAATAAACAAAACTGAAAGAAGCCTATAGCTGTGGCTGAAACATATTTCTTAACCATCTTGAGTCACCAAGTTTTAAAAACCTATCATGATTTGACTTAATTTAAGAAGAAAACATTTTCTTAGTAAGGAAATACTTTCCATGCCTCCAAGTATTCTTTAAAACTTGACTTTGGTGACTATTAATTCATTTCAAATGTATCCTCATTTACTTAGACTAGCTCTTATTGCTGGGATTAAGGAGAGTGAAGAGGATACCTGTTCTTCACTTCAAGTGTAGTAAGAGTTGCTTCAAACTGTACCCTCAGAGAGCTTGATATGTGTTTCTTGTGTTTGCAGGGAGGGGCATCGAGGACTCGAGTCTGAGCACTACCTAAGAAATTCAAGTTCAAGAGACCAACTGGTGACCCGATCCGGTGGAGGAGTGAGGAGAAGTTGCTGCTGAGCAGGGACTGGCTGGCTCTCTCAGGGTTAAGTGGGGCAGCAAATACTTGAATGTTTCCCATGGACCTGGAATGGGCCATGCACGGAAGAGAGAGAGAATCAGCAGAGAGATTTTTTAGGTACTATCTATGGGGGTATTAAGAGATGTCTGAAAATTCATGAACACACCGCGCCTTCGGAAGATGGGGTCTAATTCTCATCTTGTTGATTCTGAGTTGGCTTTAGTGACCCATTCCAACCAAACAGAATGTGGCAGAAGTGTGATGTTGCCTGCCTTTCAAAGCTGGATAATGAGATAATCTGCTTCTGCCTCACTATTGCTTTTAGGACACACACTTTGGAAAACTTCTGTCACCATATAAGAAGTCCACTTTCCCTAGGGTGGCCATATGGAGAGATAGCATGAAGAGAAGAGAAGAGAAGAGAAGAGAGAGAGAGAGAGAGAGAGAAACTCAAGGAGCCCCCGGCCAGGTGCAACATGTGTGAGTGAAGAAGACTTCAAGATGATGAAGCCACACCCATTATTTTATTATCATTGTCCCAAGCACTGTCTGGGTATGGTTTGTTACACAGTGACAGATAACAGGAGCACCATCCAATGGCACAAAAGAAGCTGGGGTGGGCCCCTCATGCCCTGGGCGGTGCAGAAAAACTAAGCAATCAGCTCTCAGATCATAGGAACTACAGACTGAGAGGCAATTGCAAAACTGGAGAGTTTTGAGGAACTTACAAAAAAAAGTCAAGCTTTAAACTTTTCCAGGCCCAATGTGAAACTGGCTTATGATGGTCCTAGTCGAGACAAAAATTTTCCTATTCTATCTCTTCTCCTTTCTTAGACTTTTTTATAATGCCAGGCTAAACATTGCTGGCAAAACATTTTAATAATTTTGAGATGGAAAACCATTTCTAAGCATGATGCAGAAACCAAGAAACCGCAAAGGAAAAGACTGACAGATTTGACAAAATAAAAATGTAAAACTTTTAAACAGCAAAATACAATGTTTTTCAAAAAGTTCAAAGACAAGCGACAAACAGGAAAATAACTGACAGCATATAACAAAAGATTAATTGCATATAATATATAGAATTCCAATAAATCCGTTAGAAGAATATAAACAATAGGTAAAAGACAGGAAAAGTCTATTGATAGAATAAAGCATATTAGTCAACAAATATATGAAAATGTATTCAAGCTCACCAATCATTAAAGAAATAAATTTAAATTTATTTAATTCAATTTATTATACTTAACATCTGTATTAATTTCCTAGGGCTGCTGTCACAAAGTACCACAAACTGAGTGGCTTGAATGATACAAATTTGTTGTCTTACAGTTCTCGAAGCTAAAGTCTGAGATCAAGGTGTCAGTAGGGTTGGCTTCTGAAGGCTGCAAGAGAAAATCTGTTCTATGCTCTCTTCTAGCTTCTGGTGGTTTGCTGACGATCTTTGGAGTTTTTTGGTTTGGAGATGTATCACCCAAATGCCTTCATCTTCACACATGGTATTCTTACTTTGTTCATGTCTGTCTCTGTGTCCAAATTTGCCCTTTTTTATAAAGACACTGGTCAGATTAGATTAAGGCTCACCCTAATAACTTCATTTTAATCTGATTACTTCTTTGAAGACCCTATTTCTAAATAAGGTCACACTCCAAGGTACTAGGGCTTAGAGTTTCAACACTATTTTTAGGGGACACAAACCAAGCACAGTAGCCTTTATTAAGAAAAGCAATAGTAATGAATATTAGAAACTGTATGGAATTGGCACTCCTGTATACAGCTGATGGAGCATAATTTGGCATAACATTTTGGAAAGTAACTTGCTATATCTTTCAAAATAACATATACTAAATGTGCATATTCTTTTCTCCCATAATTTCACTTTTATGAACATAGCAAAATCTAAAATAGGCAAAGTCAACAAGAAAAAGAATTTTTGAATGTAAGATGACCAGAGAAATGGGGAAGATGATGTGTCAGGTACTAGTACTGTTTTAGTATTAGCAGATATTATAGGTATTAGGGTCAAGCAAATTTCAACCTCAAATCTCAAAGCTGTTCTTCAACGATAGCCCTGATAGACTTGATTTATGATGCTCTAAATAGCTCATTTGGGAAGAGAGGGGATGACTATTTCATTTTTCTCTGGCTCTTTCTACACATTTAACCTTCTATTTCTGGCTAAAGCTGCCAGATTTAGCAAATAAAAACACAAGACGCCCAATTAAATTTGAATTTCAGTCAAACAACAAACTTGTTTTTAGTGTAAGTACCTCCCATGCAATATTTAAGACCTACTTATACTAAACAAATTATTCATTGTTTAATTTAGATTCAAATTTAACTGGACATCCTATATTTTATCTGGTAACCTGATGCCTGACCCCAGACTGTACAAAGCAGGTGAGGTTGGCCCTTGGATGCTGTGATGCTATAGTGTGATTTCACTGTATATACCTCATTCAGGCATATTCTCAACTGTGCTTTTGCAAAAACAAAACAAAACAAAAAAGCAAAAACAGAAACAAAAACAAAGAAGAAAACATGTGACAGTTGCAGCAAAAGATATAACAGGAGCTAGTTTCATGTAAATATTATGTTAATTAAAACAGATGAGTCTGGAGCATAAACAAAATAACTGCAGGGGGCTGGTTTTTGTTCTGGCTGAGTTTCTTAATATAGTAACTCAGTTCCCATCCTGTTAGCACTCTCTCCTTATCAAACATTGAACTGGGGTATAAGGAAGTTTAAATTACCACTGATTGGAGATCCGTCTTCTAAACACTTGAAACAGATGGTTTATTGCCTGAAAAGCATGCTTCTTTTCAGGGAATGTAGTGTTGAGCTTGGTTATTTTAGGAAAATGTTTTGTTGCAGCTCATGTATTGATTGACTTTAGGTTTGCCACACTGATAAACAGTTTTTCCTCATCTCTGTTTCTTCCATTGAGTTTGTCTACTGGACAAAGTTCTTATTTTTAATGCAACCTGCTCGCTTCTTAGAAATTGCATTGGTCAAAAGCTGTTACTGCTCCCATACAACTTTTCACAGCTTCAGAAAAAGAGCAGAAGACTTAAAAATGAAGGTCAGGTGACAGTGTACAATTGATAGAGTTGGACGCTACCAGCTGAGCAGCAGTGAACTGAACAAAAATAAATAATAGTGTTCTTTTTACCCATTTTGGGGGGATCTAGCATCCAATCCAGGATCATGTGTTGTATTTAGTTGTCTTGTTTCTTTTGTCTTTTTAAATCTATAACAGTTCCTCAGTCTTTCTTTGCTTTTCATTGACGTTTTTAAAGAATGCAGTCTGGTTATTTTGCAGAATGTTCTTCAAATGGGTTCATCTCATATTTCTTCATAATTTATCAGGTTATGTTATACATTTTAGGCAGGAAAACTAATAAGGCCTTATAACCGAATTTTCTAACACCATTCCCATGCCGTGCAAAAAAGTTGGCCCTGTGTCCTGTGAGTGAAAATTTTCTACTGAAGCTTGATTTGACAAGGATGCTTCACGCCTCCCACCGAAAAATCTCAATTTGAACTGAGTAGCTTAAAATTTTTATAAGATTCTCAGAATCGCATTTGAGAGTAAAAAGGGATTGGGATGTCCGTGTGTCTCTGGGCTCTCAGAACAAGATGAGCGCTTTGGATCCGTGCTCATGGTCTGAGGAAGGTTAAGAGAGGGCAGGGACTGGTTCCTGTAAACTGACAGTTCGGGAGAGTGAGTAGGAGATAATCGCATAATCCATTTATAACCACCCAAGTTAACAAGCTCTCACCTTCTCCAAATAGGCCCCTTAT